AATTGAATGGGCAAGCGGAATAATGAAACGTAATTCTGTTTTCAAATGAAGTGCCTCTGAGAAAATTTTTCAGTAAAAAAGCCCCACAAAAATATTGTCTGATAAAAATTTGTATGAAAATCTTATTCAGACAATATTTTTGTGGGGCTTTTTTACTGAAAATTTTTCTCAGAGGCACTTCATTTAAAAACAGAATTACGTTTCATTATTCCGCTTGCCCATTCAATTGTACCTCGTTGTGATTTATGGTTGTCCGATTAATGGGTTGGACGACCGATTTGGTTGGACGTCAGCTTTTTAGTTGACAACAATTTACTTGTAGCACCCTTGAACTTGACACTTGTGAGATAATGATCGTGCATTTGGACCAATCGATCTACCAAACAATGGGAAAACACATAAAATATGTCCGTAACAATTGGCTGTGTCGGCTCATAAAATTGGCGATAAACACCTGTACACATGTGGCATGTATGTCAAACAATTGTTTAGTTGCATGTTGGAAAATTCAAACAGCTAAGAGAAAAAAAAAGCGTTTCAGTAGCCGTTTATTGTTATTCCTCTGTGTGTTTTGTATTCCGTTTAGTGTGTGGGACGATTAAATGTTATTATCATGAATTTTTCATGCGGTTGCTATTTGTTCGTATTGACATAGCATTTATGGGCGAATCGAATCGGTGTTTTCTCTGATCAGAACAATTGCTGTTGCATTACCGATTCAACGAATTCCATTCGAATTAAATTTTTTCCCATTTTTTTTTGCAACCAGTTTACGTGATTTGTTAAAAATGATGATAATAATTTACCGTAGATGATTTGTTAGTAACAATATAAATTCTCATTACAGTTGCAGTGGAACATAGCGATTCGTCAACAAACAAAACGATAAGAAAGTAAATGAATCGAGCCAAATCGGCGAATAACAATAGCAACAGCAACCGCGACCACAGTAGTAACAACAACAATCGAGATTCAATCAATCGCCAAATCAACAAATGAGGAAATTGCTTGCATATCCCTAAATTGCTCTAAATTAACCAACCGATTTTGACCCAATTATTTGACGACCACCAGCGGTCTACTACATTTACTCCACGCAAAGGCCTCCTAAAATTGGTCTGAACCAACAAAAATGATGAAAGAATCAAAAATGGGCCATGACAATCAAGCAATGTCAAACTCAAGCGTTTCGCTGAGCATGCCACAAGAGCCGCGCGGAAGCTATCGCGGTTCCAACGAATTTATACGTAAGTACAGTATACAGTTAACATTTATTGCGCATATATATATATATATATATATAGATTCATTCGGCAATAGTTTAACGGTACAACCTTGTGACTCATTTTGCGATGAAGAAAAAAACAACAACATTTAATTGTCAATGTTGATTCAAAAGCACTAAATTATGAAAACAAACGAACGCATTTCGACGGCACAGTTTTTTTTTCGCTCTCACATGCATTGATCGGAAATTACGTCGTTCTTGTTCACATTTCTTTGCATATTGTGTGTGTTTCTGCCTTCTGGTTTTTGTTTACATCTTCGTTTCATTCATTGAAAATGAAATGTGACTTCAGTTTATTGCACAATCATTGTGATGAATCAAACGAATGCAATGAGTAGCTTGAACCGGCTAATGACATTCACTTTTTTTTCTTTCGTTTGAACAGTTTTTTTTTCGTGGGTTTTACACGTGACCGTATGCAGTGATACATTGTTATCAATTAAATGTGACGAAGAGGAAACATTGTGTCTAGAAAGGGGATATTTTGATTGTTTCGATTTTCTAAGAAGTTTTTTGTTTCATCCAACGAGATTTCTCTTTTGAAATCGTGATTTTTTATTGTGGATTTCGGAAAATGACAAGAATTAAGCAAAAAGTATTTTTATTTGGAAAATCATGGGAAATTGGCAGAAATCTGGGTAGAAAAAAGACATTGTTTTTAACACTGCACTATGCTTTTAAAGCTCATACGTACTGAAATATACATTAAAGCTCAAACGACCAACATTGTGAGTTAATCAGAGCGTATTTGAGTGCTACCAATAAGTTGGTAGTCGCTTCATATCAACCGAATGCATGGAACATCATTTCACTCTCCTCAAAAGAGCACTCAAAAGTGTCTCTCGAAGGAGTCTCTCAAAAATGATAAATATATAAAACAATCACAGTAATAGAACAGTGCGTGTGCGAAATAAATAGACGCGTGTTCATTGTGCACAGTTAACTTCATGAAAGATTCATTCGAAAGAGACTCTTTCGAGAGACTCTTTCACGTGCTCATTTGAGAAGAGTGCAAATGCTGTTCTGTTCCCTGGACCGAATGACAGTCTCAAACCGAGACTCTCCATTTAGCTGTGTCAAACCATTTCGACCGTGTTTACAATAAGAAACAAGGGCATTCGAAGTCCAAAAACTCAACAATAGCCCACTTGCTTGACAAGTAAATAATTGTTATTTCATTAATGATATCAATTCGAAAATACTGCTGCTCGCCACCACAAGGAATAATTAACACTTGTTGATGATTCAAATGACATACAATTACGGATTATTTCGACGAATCGCTTTTTATCGCCTGAAAATATCAAAAGTTATTTTGATCCGATTGTCATTTTATCGCTTCTTAAGAAAGAAAAACTTAGCTCGTGTTTTATTTGTCGATTGTGACTTTGTTCTAAGCTATTGTTGGACTCAATTATGTGAAGTTCATATAAATATGAACAAAATCTATCATTTTTGTTCTTAAAACAGAATGCGCAAAATTGTCCAAGCCACTTATTATTCTGCACTTTGCTAATTAACATTAAAAAATTACACGAACAAAATTTAATCAGACTTTTTTTGCTTTGTGTGCGGTTTTCCAGCATTTTTTTTTTTTCAATTCAATTGAATAATTTTTGTAATGCTATAGCAAAAGAACGGCAGTATGCTTCCTCATTTGTTTGTTCACATTTGCCATTTCATGATAAACCGAAGCATCGTTCGATAATTAAGTTTTCTAAAACTCATTTTTTCCGCATTAAAAATTGCTTTTTTTAATTGAGAATAATGACTCACGGGATAAGTAGCGGCAATTTACTTTTTTTTTACATTTTTGCGGTCTACACTTTTTGAATTGTAATTTACACTGTACAAAAACGCAATGACTTGGTCGAATAAGTATCATAGCATTACGATAGATTTGCTGTCGTTTTTGTGCCAGTAAAAATTGATACATCAATTACAACATATGTGTGTTTTACCGCTTTTCGATCAGTGACAAGTGTTTGAAATCGCCTGAATGTAGACAATTTACGTTTCATTCATTTACTTTTCCGTTTGGCTTATTTACAATTCAACTGTACACAATGGCAATTTTCAATCAATTTCATTCGCTCAACTCTTATTTACTTATCCATTTTTTGTCATTCCAGTGATGAAAGATAACGAAGACTCCTGTTGCAATTTCCAATTGGGCCCATGGATTCAGAAGAAAGTGCAAAATGTATGCACCAAAAAAATGCTACACAAACGACTGCCAATCAGCAACTGGCTTCCGAGGTGAGTTTCGATCTGTTTATACTAATAATTTGAGTCGAATCATTTGAAATGCTTCAAAATTTGCTATTTCAATGACTTGAGCTGCCTCGATAGCTACACTTCCATAGACCTTTGTTAAGAGAAGACCACATGTGGTTAGTGGTTATGAAATGAATAAATCTTATTAGGCTGATGATTGTATTTATTTGAAATCAAAAAAAGAAGTTAACAAATCCATGCTTCACCTAGTGACATCTTATCGTAGAAACTTATGAAAAATTGAAAATTCACCAACAAAAACAAACATTTTCTCTTCAATTTTCAGATATTCAAGTGAAGATGCAGTTGGTGATTTGGTGGCTGGTATTACAGTTGGTTTAACAGTAATTCCTCAAGCGCTTGCCTATGCTGGTATTGCCGGTCTCGACCCAGCTGTAAGTAACATGACACATCAATTTTAATTGATTCAAGAATTTTTTTTTTAAACTCATTGAAAATAATGAGAATCAAACCATTTTCTTTCACAGTACGGTCTCTATGGATCATTCATGGGATGTTTCGTGTATATTTTGCTCGGTTCATGCAAAGATGTTGCGATGGGACCAACGGCTATCGCTTCTCTGCTGACATATCAAGCGGCTGGTGGTGTGTGGCAAAAGGCTGTGCTGCTATCCCTCTTGACTGGAATTGTTGAAATTATCATGGGCTTCATGGGACTTGGATTTCTTCTGAATTTCGTCAGCGGTCCAGTGAGTTCGGGCTATACAAGTGCTGTATCATTGATTATTTTAACGTCTCAAGTGAAGGATATCCTGGGTATCAAAGCCAAAGGAACCACATTCGTCGAGATTTGGTCGTCAATTTTTCAAAATATTCACACAGCCCGAATGAATGACACTCTCATGGGTGTTTCATGCCTCGTCATTTTGCTGCTAATGAGATTGTTGGTGACAAAACAAATCGGACCGAAAGAGGATCAAATGAAATCTAGCTTCCAGAAAGTGATCAACAAAATCATTTGGCTCATTGGCACAGCACGCAATGCCATTTTGGTTATTTTGACCGGCATGATTTCGTATTTGATGCACCAGTCACATCAAGCCGATTTGCAAGTTATCGGCAAAATCCCGTCGGGAATGCCAAACATTCAAGTACCACCATTTTCCATTCCTGAGATTCGTAATGAAACTAGCGGCGAAGTACTTCAACAAGGCGTGTCTTTCTCTGAACTTGTCTCGGAAATGGGCTCATCACTTATTGTTATTCCATTGATTGCACTCCTGGAAAATATCTCCGTTTGCAAAGCTTTTGGTAGGTTGATTTATCAATTTCAACCGGACACCAGACACATTTTCAATTGATTTATTCGAATCACAATCTAAATTAAGGTTCTATCGACCTTGTAATAATAATTTACTAATGTGTTTTTTTTACCTTCTTTTCTACAGCCAACGGCAAATCAGTCGATGCAACACAAGAATTGTTCGCAATTGGAACGTCAAACATTGTAAATTCATTCTTCCAAGGCTATCCGGGTACTGGCTCACTGTCACGCGGTGCTGTAAACAATGCATCGGGCGTTCGTACTCCATTGGGCGGTCTTTATACTGGTGTCATAGTCATCGCTGCCCTCTTCCTCACTCCACTCTTTTACTACATTCCCAAAGCAGCTTTGGCATCGATTATCATTGCGGCCGTCATTTTCATGGTCGAAGTCAAAGTTGTTAAGCCGATGTGGCGCAGCAAAAGTAAGACTATTTTTATTCAAACCTAAATTGATATTTTACCTTCTTTCAAAAATGATATACCAAAGACCTAATACTTTTTCATGGATCAAATGCGATTTATAGATCTTTTAAAAGCAACTTTTAACTAACATTCAATTTTTCACTCCACAGAAACTGATTTGATCCCTGGAATGGCCGCTTTTGTTGCTTGCCTCGTTCTTCCATTGGAAATTGGCATTTTGGCTGGAATCGCCATGAATATCATTTTCATTTTGTATCATGCTGCACGACCAAAGATCTCCATTGAATTCCTATCGGTGAGTTTCAGCTCCTTTGAGTTAAAGGTGTTTAATAAACACTGTTTATGGCCTAACTATCACCAGGTGGCAAGGGATAATATATCACGTCGTGTTGAAAATTGAAAAATCTTCACCAAGAGAAGATTCACACCAAATACCAGCCGTCACTAATCCATTTATTTGTTTCGTTTCTTTCCACAGACATCGACTGGTTCAAAATATCTAATGTTGACTCCGGATCGTTGCCTTATCTTCCCATCGGTGGATTATGTGAAGAATTTAGTGAATAAGCTTGGTTCCAAATCGCAAGTGCCAGTTGTAATTGATTGCACCCATATCTACGGTGCTGATTACACCGCTGCTACTGTCATTGAAACATTGGTGGCCGATTTCTCCGGACGTCAACAAATGCTGATATTTTACAATTTGAAGCCAAGCGTTGGACAAGTATTCGAAGGAGTCGACACCGATCTGAGCGTTCAATACGATTTGGCATCATTGGAACGAGTCATCGATGAACGCAAAATTTAATCTCAACACAAATTTTATTTAAAAAAAACCAAAAAAAATTATAATAATTTAATTTAAATGAAAAATTAGAATATAAATTGTATCATACCGTTAAACATTTTATATAGACGTTAAAAGAAGTATTATTTGATTTTAAGAAAAATGTAGAATTTGTTAGGAATTTAACAAAATACATCATTGATATTATTTTAATGTAAGGCTCAATAAATTGTGTACAATCATTTTCAGAAGAATATAAAATCTGTCGTTTTAAATTTAATTAATTCATTTATACAAAGGTTTAATTAGACTATGCCAATTGATTTAAATTGACTCATTTTATTTCCAAATTAGTTTATTAAATTCTAATTGAAATACTTTTAATCTCATTCAAATAAACCTCTTTAAACAATTTCAACGCCATCTGATGTCATCTCGACTCACAACAATCATCACGACGTCTTGGCGCTTATATGACATTTCATCGCACATAACCAAACTGAACTTTATGTTAGCACCAAGCATTTATCAAGCAAAATTTTGATTGCAAGATCCGACAGCAAGGGACTTTGTACGTTACAGAAATGTGTATGTGCTTTACATGTTTATTCATGTTTAAATGATTGAAACTTGCAATTTTGCCTACTTTTAGGTGTTATTCTTGTGTTTTTCAATGCAACTAAGATAGAAACTTTGTGAAACTTTGTGATTACATGTTAGTTCATGAATATTTTCACTAGTTTCGCTCTTGTAACATTCTGTACATTCAGTGTCCATATGAATCAATGTATTTTTGGTTTTTGCTGTTGGATCGTGTTTGATTGATACGTTCAATAAAAGTTACGAACAGATTCATTGTTTTATAAAGTGAAAAAAAAGGTTAAATGGTTTTGTCGTATCGAAATGGGAAAATGATTTACGAAAATCGGAAAATGATTTATCAAAATGGGGAAATGATTCACCATCCAAATTTTAGACTAAAAATAGAATAGAAATCATTTTATTACGAAATTTTTCAGAAAATTTAAGAAAAATTTGTTGCATTTTAATCAAATTCTTCAACTTCCCTAACAATAATTTACGTTAGAGAGGAAAACGAATGGACGAAGTCAAATTAATATACAATGTCGGTTTTCAGTTGAACGCTGGCAATTTAATGTATATTCCCGCTATGGAATATACGCATTTGTAAGAAAGAATAAACAAAATTGCACATTCGCACACAAACAGTGTTCTCACATTCTCTTGTAAATGCGTGAAATTTAAAACATGAAGAAAATATTCGACTATTGAAAAAGATGAATTTTATGTGATTCGCATAATTGAACCCGTGAGCACAAAAACGACTTATTAAACAATCGCCGAACAAAACGATACAAGAAAAAACTACCAAACAAAACACACGTTAAAAACGTAACACAGCAGGACGGTACCGTTCAAAACGAAATTCCGCTGTGCTACATATTACCGCTGTGTTACGTTTTGTTCGGTAGTTTTTTCTTGTATCGTTTTGTTCGGCGATTGTTTAATAAGTCGTTTTCATGCTCACGGGTTCAATTATCATTCATGAAGATTAAATGAACAAACGTATACGTGTTTTGTATGGAGATGTTACACTTTAAAATACTGCGAATCCAAGTCTCACTTTTGCTCTCACCCGTTCAAATGTATAATTCAAATAAGACTGATTTTTGATTTCATTCAATATTGTGTCGTTCTGTCATATGTAGGTATAGTTTATATGAATTGTACACTCTGAAGAGTTCATTTTTGAATTCAATCATCTTCATGTGAAGATCGGAACACGTTTAATATTCGTGATATCTGCAGAATTTTTGGTGAAAAAGCCAAAATATGGAGTCACACCAACATATGAAACCGAAGCCCAGATGTCCATTCGACAAACTATCGATGAAAGTGACAAATGCCACGGTTGATTTAAATTTTCATTTTAACTTTTTACCGCTCGGTGGCTACATATGGGTGGTATCTGGAAAGCTTTTTAAACCGATTCCCAATAATCGTCATAAAAACAATTACTAATTTGTGTATTGGCCGAAACGAAAATTTCAAAAGCTGGCCAAGCAGAAAAAAACAAAATGTTCAAGCGGAATTGAAAAACAGACATTGTCCATTTCAAATGGGTTTTGATGGTACGATTCCTCTTGAGCATTTTAATTTCGAGTGTAATTTGGGAATATGGGATAATAAAACAAAGCAAAGCTAAAGCAAACGACAATATATATTTTCATTCCACATTGAGGCTCTCTTCTCTGGTGCAGTCATATATGATTTTAAGAATCGATTCACCTTTTTTTTAATCGCTGAAATCATAGACACGTTCCATATCGACGTATTTTTGATAGAAATTATCGTGATCAAGAGATTTTACACAATGAGGGACATGGTATTTCGTTTGTTAATTGTTTTCATCCGATTCATTTCAATGATGTACCCAGTACCCACTCATTAATGATTTTCATATCTTTCGAGAATGGAAACAGGCTTCGTTTCGAATAATTAAACTAATGTTTGCTTTGGAACCTATTTCCGCTCTTAAAAGCTATTAGAAGCATGTAATTAAAATCAGAATCTGAGCGTTTCATATTCTAAATTAAAACGATTTCAACTAAAACACCCAGTTTGAATTTGGCCGTTGAATATCAAGTTGGCTTTGCTTAAGTTTGTCCAAAATGGAAACAAGGTGTCAGGTTCTTTTCATCTCACTTTTCCTTTCTGGAATTTGAAACGTTTCTATCGATAGTTTTGGATTTCAACCAATAACCTACATCTCCAAAGGTGTATCAGATTGTCCACAAAGCGAAAATAATCCGGTGTATTGGATAGAAAACATTACCAAAACCGGACGCAATAAAAATGTACTCAATGGAGAGGTGAAATTTAGGGAAATCGTGACCGGCCCATTAGAGGTAGTACTTTACCATAATATTATGCACATTTGATACATAAGTTCCTTTGAACCTTTCAGCTGAAAATTCCCGGAAGCAGATGTGATTTGCAAATGACGGAGTGTGGAAATTTCAATACTTTTGTCATTCCTGACATTTGCAAAATATTTGATCAAACGAATCAAATTTGGACCGATTTCATGGTACATTTACAACCGAAAGCAAAGTGTCCATTCAAAGCGGTGCCAGTGGAAGTGACAAACGCCACAATCGATTATTCCTATTTAGCTCATTTACCATTCGGCGGATACACATGAGTGCTGACTTTTAAAGTCTTCAAATCCATTCCTAACGTTCGGCATAAAAAGCAAATGATTTTTTGTTTATTGGCTGAGATAATTGCCACTAAAACAAGCAAAGAATCGAACAGGATAACTAAAACTAGGGGAAATGAGCGCAATAAAACTGGAACGAAGCATAAGATGACTTGATCAACTATTGATCGATCGACTTCTTCCAACCGTTATCTGCTCCTTGGATCAAGCTCTACTGAAAATGGACTCTTTTTTTTTCATACAATAACTATTTCACAAAATGTTTTCAATCTTCATAATAAATGAGGCTGTGAGAATGAAAATGGCAATACAGGAATAAACATTCTGAAGCGCATCAAGAAAAAAAAATTCGCAAAAGTGGATCATGAGTTCTGAATACGCAAAAGTGAACCATGAACCTCCTATGCTGCCCATGTAAATTCAGGTTTCACTTTTGCATATTCAGAACTCATGATTCATTTTTTCGAATTTTTTTTCTTGATGCGTTTCAGAATGTTTATTCCTGTATTGCCATTTTCATTCTCACAGCCTCAAATATAACCAACATAAAGAAGTATGTTTCACTTTTGCGTATTTGGAAGTTTATCGTTCGCTGCGATTTTTTTTCTATGTTATGCTCCGGCGAATTTATTCCTGTGTCAACACTTTTTTAATCGCCTCTTCGAAATATAACCCATTTTATTAATCGTTCTGTGGCATTGATATGGTAAATTGCCCAAAAGTCTCACAATTAAATCAACATCAAAACAAAATTAGTTTGATGATAAGATTTTTCTTTTAATTTTATTCTAATGCTTCTGAACATTTACTTTTTGAACATTAAAAAAATGAAAATTAATATTTTACGGAATTAAAATGAAGCATATCAGATTCGTTCACATCAATTTGTTCATTGTACCATATAATGATACCATCTGATGCTTAGACTGTGGAAAATGAATTCCAAAATTTTTCACATTTGCAAAGTGTGCTAGCACTTCGACAGACGAACATTCGTCTATACAAATTTCATTTTTATCAAAAGCAAAAGATGCATCTACACAAGTTTATTCTAATTCTTGTGCCCGTTATCATTTTGATTGATAACGTATACTGTGGCCGTTTTCGAGATCTATCAGTAACAGTGAATAGCGTTTCAGAATGTCCAGAGGATGGAAAGACTCCATTGCACCACGAAGTCAACTATACAAGAGTTTCTTTCAACAAATACTTGTTAGATGGAATATTAACTATGGACGATACTATAACCGGTCCAATCGAGGTGAAAACTACTTATTCTGAAAACCTTTCGAGCATGTTTTAATTCGTTGTTCTGTTTTCTGTTTTCAGCTCCAATTGATTCTACAAAGGTGTGGCCTGAATAATTTGACGCAATGTGCTAATTTTGGAAAATTTGTAATTCCAGATATTTGCAAAGTTGCTGATCAAAAAAACCAAATCTGGAGTGACGCCGTGGAGCACACACAGCCACGAGCAAAATGTTCATTAAAAAAGGGCACAATCAGGCTTACGAATGCCACCATTGACTACAGTTATGTAGCTCATCTCCCATTTGACGGTTACACATGGAAAATTGTCACAACAGCATTTAAATCTATTCCAAACGTGAAACACAAGAAGAAAAAGCTATTTTGCAATTTATGGGTAGGAACAATGACCAAAGCAAGCCGAAAACAAAGTGCTAATAGTGGTAAATGAATACTGATTTGCAAAAATCATTTAGAGTAATCTGTTTTAATCCTCTAGTGTATACCACCGCCAAAGGGCGGCAACATTTTTATTTTCCAAGCCTATAGACTATAGATTTTTGCCTGTTGCACTTTCCCTAACTACATTTGTTATCTGAACGCAAACCCTCGTTGTCCATTTAATTCATATTCGACAAAAGTGACGAACGCAACTAGATTAGTCTCAACTTCATAGAGTGATTTCCCTTGGATGGATTTACATAGAATTTTTTCTTTGACATGTTAAACCAACTCCCAATGTTCGGCACAGAAAACAAATCCTGTTTTACAGTGTGATTGAAACAAAAGTCACAATCGCATCATAGAAAAAATAAAATGTTGCACGAAATGGAGCAAATAAATTGACAATAAAATAAAAGTTGAGAACTTGTTTTCTTAATTTTTTTTAAATGAGAGTGCAAAAACTGTATTTTATTGATTTAAGTTCCAAGTAATTCTACACTAACTCAACTCTTGACTTAACCGTTAACAAGAGATAAACGGCGGTTTCGGGCTCAACCCAAGATTTTTGAGAAAGCAAACAATTGCTATTTCTACACACACAATTCTCGAAACAGTTGCTTGGGTCTCTTTTCCACCTTAATCGCTGAAATCATAGACACGTGCCATATCGACGTATTTTCATATTATTTCGTTTGTTAATTGTTTTCATCCGATTCAAATAAATGATGTACCCAGTACCCACTCATTAATGATTTTCATATCTTTCGAGAATGGAAACAGGCTTCGTTTCGAATAATTAAACTAATGTTTGCTTTGGAACCTATTTCCGCTCTTAAAAGCTATTAGAAGCATGTAATTAAAATCAGAATCTGAGCGTTTCATATTCTAAATTAAAACGATTTCAACTAAAACACTCAGTTTGAATTTGGCCGTTGAATATCAAGATTTGCTAAAGTTTGTCCAAAATGGAAACAAGGTATCGTATTCTTTTCACTGTTGCTTTTTGGAATTTGTAACGTTTCTATCGATTGTTTTGGATTTCAACCATTAACATTCATCTCCAAAGGTATATCAGATTGTCCACAAAGCGAAAATAATCCGATACATTGGAGCGGAAACTTGACCAAAATTGGACAAAACAAATACATACTCAATGGAGAGGTGGCGTTTAAAGAAATCATGACCGGTCCATTAGAGGTAATTCTTTGTTTGAAACATTATGGACATTTGATACATAAGTTCCTTTGAACCTTTCAGATTCAAATATCTGGAAGCCGCTGCAATTTTGCGATGACGGAGTGTGAAAATTTCAATACTTTTGTCATTCATGACTTTTGGAAAATACTTTTTTTTTTTATCGGCATGGAAAATTAGTATTTTACAGCCTCGTGGGCCAATTATAAAATACTTTTGGTTTACATTTGGCTAGCATTTTTAAAGTTATGTTAATAGCAAAACGGAGAAATACTTGATGTATTTTGTTGACGATTGAAGCAAAGTATATCAATAGCGCCACCTAACATGATGCAACGTTCGAACGAATCAACACCTCTGTGTACAACGCACACATAGACTCTTCGCATTCACACGAACGTACACACAAAGACTTTACTTTCACACGTACGTATAGTTACAGAGATTTGTGGTTGGTGGCGCTCCCAACAAAGTTTCCACAGCAGTTCTAAACGTCAAACATTGCTATAGCATATGAGCTAGACAGTGTTGGTTAATAGTAATAGTAATGATTAAAAAATATAATGTGTATGTGTATTTGTTCATTTGATTGTTGATAATTGGACTGTGTCTGTCATGGTTGCCGCAGCAAAGCTCATAGAATTTGAAGGAAAGAAAAATAGAACATTTGGTAGCATTTGGCAGCATTTGGCAGTTTTCTATGAGTTTTGTCGCCGCCACCATACCAGCAGAACTACTAGAAGTAGAAATGAAATATTATTATATTGGGGTAATATTGTTTAACTTGGATTTGAGGAATAGTCTGTTATTGTTTGATTCTGCTTTAGTTCATGTATTATGTACCTTTCAATTGTGCTCAAACGGTCTTCATTTAACTCAATGTTGTGAAAGATGCTAACGCCAGTTATCGGCCCGGAATTGCTTGCTTGAATCGTCTTCAGCGCTTGACAGAAATTAGTTTGATTCGCTTACATCCTGACTCATTGGAAGGGATCATCGATTGTTTGGCAACCTTTGTTGGACTACGAAAAATACATCTGCACAAAGATTGAGTATTCACATCAGGTCTAGTCGTGCAGAACTATCTGCAGTCATTGATCCAATTGGCTGTAAAACAAACGAAATTGGAAGTTTTGGAATTAGATTCTGTGAATCTAACCGAAACAGCTTTGATGGATTTCGTTCGATTCGCTAGTCAATTGAAAAAGCTTAAACTCAGCTGGGGCGATTTGCAGTTCTCAGACGAATTAACCCTTTGACGACCTTTGGGACACATATGTCCCATTTTGTTTTTCGTCAATAATTTCCACATTTCTAAACCGATTTCGACACATATGTCCCATCATTTTTTTTTCATATTTTCAGTTAAAAACATTAATTTTTGATAGCACTTTTACTAAGGTTTTTGGGGTCGCTGAACACGAATCTGCAATCAGAATTGTAAAATTCCGAGCCGTTCAGTTTTGGTCGTCAGAGGGTTAATTTTGAACTTAGTCGACGTGCTGAAATGCAATCGATCAGAGCCCAACGACATTTTGGCACTGGAATTTAATTCATACAATCTAAAAAATTTGAATGTGATCGAGAATGAATCGGTGTCACGTTACCTTCAAATAAAGCTCATTTAGACTGGCTAGTCGGCATCTTATACTTACATTATTCTTTACATACACGTACAGGCAATTTTCATTATGCTAAGTATCATTTTTTGTCCCCAAAAATTGAATCAGAACATTGACAAAAATAAGTCATAATTTGCCTCAAACATGTATTCAAAACACATTGGCAACACTCTAAAAGACGTTTCCATCGAAATTCAACAACAACCATGCATCGAAATTAAATGAGAATTATAATAATTCATTTTTTATTGTCAGATGAACAAAATCTAAAATACACAGAACACTTTCACAACCATTTTTATACTGCTACAAAAAATCGCCGTACAAGCTTTTGAGCTATCGAGTTTGTCATTCTTTATGGGACTTATCACAACAGATATTAATAAAAGAATAATAAATACATCGAGTAATTCGAACGAATCTGTTCGAGTTTAATTCAATTCATGACATTAATGGACAACATTTCCAAAATTTGTTTGAATGCAAGGTACATTTTTTTCCGTACAGATCGCCATTGATTTGAAACCGTGAGTATCAAATACTAAGGGGATTTATCTCTCGCGAATGCTGCGAATGCATTCGCATTTCAGAACAAAAATTCGAATGTTTGCGAATGCGACGAATGCGGCTATGACAGCGAACTTGTGACTACATAATTCATTCGTTCATTCGTGTTTGGGCATGCATTCGCAACGCTGCCGTATGATTTCTATGTAAACATTCGCACTCGCATTCGTGAAAACGTTCGAGAACAGCGAAATACGACTGCCATACGAATGCGAGTGCGAATGTTTACATAGAAATCATCAGCGCGAATTTGTGAATAAAAATTCGAATGCCAAACCGACATAGGAGCCCCTAGATCAAATAAAACTTCCATTTCTAACGATTTTACTTCAAGCAAAATGAATTGAGGAGCTAGGAGTGCATACAATGTAATTGCATGCAATGGAAATCCAACATATTTTTCTTCAAGTAAAAAGATATGAGACTGATAACATGTATACCTTTGACAGCGATGAATTGAACCAAAAATCTGGCTTTTAACTTCAAGTCAATTGAGAATGTTTGATTAGCTCGTTTGATTTTCAATCTATATATCGAATATGTGAAAATTTTCGTTAAAAAAACATGACAATGCGTTGATATTTTTTCAAAAATTGTTGAAAGCTATTTATTCCGGTTGATGTTTTTCAGTTTCATACAGAATTTGTTGCAAATTCAACTAAACCTAATTATGAAGAAAAAAAAAATTCTTGATACGGATTTTCTTATAAAATAACAGATTTATGATAATAAAATAGATTCAATTTTAGATTTTTCCAAATTTTCAACACAATAATCGATATTACGTGGTTGAGAAAAAAATTGGAAAGTCGCAATATTGGAACTATAGCTTAACTTCCACAATTCGAAGCGAATTTTCTCACTCGCGACTGATTTAATTGATTTCTTAAATTATTACAATTTCTTTATATGCCGAAACTGTTTGCTAGATTCCATAAAAATGAAAAACACGGAACTGTGTTGTTATAACATGCTATAACATTTGTTGAAAAAAAAATGATGAACAAATTGAAGAGAATTAATTAATAAAGAGAAGCAGACACAGTGCGGCCAACAAATGATTTCGTTGTAAATCTGTTTGAAAATTGCGTTTAAAAATTCTTATGAAGAGCTTACGGATTGATTCTAGCGTGAATGGTGTTCAAATGTCCTTTTAGGCTCATTTTATAACTAAAACGCATCATGCAAATTTCACAACGAAACGGTTTTTCACCGGTGTGCTTGCGCATATGTATCTTCAACCGAGTTTTAATATGATCAACAAACTTCTTGCAGAGATGGCATTCGTAGCGACGTTTTTGGCACTGTTTTTCATGAGCTTCTTTTTTGGACTTCAGTGAAAATCCACGGAAACAAATTCTGCAGTGGAACGGGAAATCTTCAATGTGAGCTGCGGCATGCTTCATCAGACTTGCTGCGTTTGTGAATCTTTTTCCACACCGATCGCATCGATATGGCTTTTCGCCGGTGTGAGTTCGCTTGTGTTGGCTAAGATTTTTTTGGTGAATAATGTGTCCACAAAAAGTACATTTGCGTCGATTTTTTGGCATTAATTGCTCCGGAGCACCTTTTTCACCGTTCTTTTCTGTTCTCACACTACCCGGATTTTGATTCTTTTCTCCCGTTTTTGTCATACGGTTTTCATGAGGACTCTTGCGATTGAATGGCGTTGATTTGTTTTTATCTTTTGTTAAATCAGCCAGTGTCATTTCAGCCAAACGATCTAAGCCGACAGTCACTGGAATAAATATTCTCTGACCAGCATATGTTGTGTCGTTTCGATTTTGAACACTTTCGATTGATTCATCATGAATTGTGTCAGCTGTTTCCAAGCCATATTCTGTGACCTCAAGATATATGTCGTGGTTTCGAATGGCATTCGATTCGTCCATTTGATGCCACATTGGCACATCGGTTTCGTTTGCTGCTACCAAACTGAAAAATAGTTTTTTGTAAGTAAAGCTGAGCAAGTGTTCTGGAAGGCAATATCAAACGAAACTGAAAAAAAAAATTACCAATCATTGGAATTGTGCGAATTGGATGTGCTGTGAGTCACAATCATATCGCCAACAATTACATTTTGTCTTGCATCGTTTGATGAAGCACCGTTTGCGACAGTGGCTATATCGTTAGTTGACTCTATTTTTACTGTCTCCACCACAACGTCTTCATCGTCTGAATCATCGATTTGAATAACAGAGCTTGATGCATTTGTCATACGATCACTTCCACCTCCAATCGATGTACCACTTCTACCATCATTTTCCTCAGATTTAACGCCACTTCTTCCATTTTTTGATGATCTCTTTGTACAATTTGCAGCTGAATTCAGATTGACGTTCAATTGTTCTTCGAGCATTGAGTTAATTTCGAACTGGTCGTACGTTTCATTTATGCTGAAAAAAAGACAAAGACAAAAATTGAGTTGAATAAAATGCAAAATAATATCCAGTTTTCATTTCAATTTGCATGCATGGATGATGATATTGATGACTGTAGCAGCACAAAACCTACCGATTGATCGAAGCCTGTATGAAATACTGCTTGAATTCCGGTGTTAACGAAAGTCCACTCCGCTTAAATGCTAATTTAATGACACTCAAAGAGTGTATTTCCTGACGATTGAATGCTGCAAGCATACTGTCCATTTCGAGGCGCCAGTCAGATGATTCCATTTTTTACCTTCGATTGAAATGGAACAAAAAATACGATGATTTTTTAATTGTTGGCAACTCATTATGAATTCCATCCGATTAAAAATATTCCAATAAAATAATGATGACACATATTTTAGTGGATTTTAATCTTTTTTTTTTCGTGTCATATCTTTCCTCCGAACGAAAACATATAGTTAATTTTTTCAATGACTTTCTGAGAATAGTTCCTACCTTGTGTTCTTTTTACGATCAAGTTTCAGCTAAGGAAAATTCCTCCAAATCTAACTTAGGTTTTCAATGTAGTTTCAGAAGCTTTGAAACTGAAGCTGTTATTGCCAGAAAATAAGTAAATTATTTATTTAGCAATCGAAGGCAATTCAATTTGAGGCACAAAAATAGAATGAACTTAATGAATGCCGAGAATTAGACGACGTGAAAGGAATGATGCAATATAGCGAAAAGACGTGTAATAATGTCCGCCGAAGTGTCAAACAGAATTCGCCACACTCGATCGATGTTGGCAAAGTCGATTCATTCTAAAATTCATTCACACCACATTTCATAATATATTTTATTTTAAAATTACACAATGGGCTCTGTCAAGGAAATGAATAAAGCTGAATTCACAATATTAAACGGAAATTATTTTTTTCCAGAACTTACTTGTGGTTTCGAATTTAATTGCACTAAGAGTTAACTGACAAATTCACTTTGTCTTTAACTTTTTTGTCGGGATTAAACAACGCAGACAGATTTTGTGTCATTCGACACGATTCAATTACGCCTTTGCAATATGCATTTGTGTGAGTTGTAAATCACACAACTTGTGATTTATTTTCTCATTCGCACACATCATATTTCGCTCCAGCTCATCACAGCTCACACATCATTTCAAGCGCTAAACACACACACTCATGCATTCATTCCATCATTCTTCGCTTTGTAACAGCTTCTCCTTCTTCATTCGCCAATTAAATTGACATACCGCGACCAACCGACGATTTCGCCGAAATCACTTGATTGTGGCGAATTCTGTTTGACAGCCTTCTCGTTCGTGTTCCATTTTCCATTTCACATTGCACAATTATTTCCACTTTGCATTCCCATTGTGCATAACACGTGGTCCTTTCACGGCAACTAAGAAAAGTTCGAATATTTCTGAATATTTCCACAACCAATTGTTCGTAATATCAACTCTCATAAACTGAATATTATTTTGTTTCCAAAAATTATCCATTTTCATTTTTGTTATCGTATAATTTCGTAAAAAGGCGTTCACACTCACAATTTTTGGCGTGAATTTGATCAAGGTAAGAACAACACTTATTACATTACAAATGGTTCGATTTTATTGGATAAAAGATCGCTTAAAAATTGGGGAAAAAACAATCAATTAGCCATAATTCTCAAATGCTAAATCTAATGAAATGAAAGTTAGAATCTAAATCATTTAGAAAATATTTCAAAACTAAGTACTTTTTATCACATTTTCTCACTATAGTGTAAGCACCAAGCGATCTGCAAGCGAAATTTTGATTGAATGTGAAAAGTTACGAACAAATTCATTGTTTTCTGAGGTGAAAAAAACTTCAAAATGCGTTTCATTTGGGACGATATTGGATGGAAATTGGTGAGCCACAAGAGAGCATACGATGAAAATCAATTTGTTGTAGTACGAAAACTCCATGTGAAGCTGAACACAGACTCAGACAGTACTTTGGTTTGTATTGAAACTACATAGCCTCAACTATCAGCATGAAACACGGTGGTAATGTACACACTGTTCTTTTTCAGCCCATTCAAGGATTCTCAGTTGATTTGATTCGTCAACACAGTGAACGTTTTGGTAACATTGAGTCGATTGAAATGCTACCAAACAAGGAAACAGAGGCCCATGTGACATTTGTCAGCGACCGCAGTGCATATTCAATGCAATCTCAGCATGAATTTGACAAGGAAGCCCGCAGAAAACAGCAATTCCAAATCCAACCAGCCGACACATGGGAACAACCACGGGAAAATACCAATCCACTACCTAAAGAAGATTTGGAACAAACATCGGAAATATTCATGTTGAACGAGGACTGTTTGCTGCACCTGTTCATGTTTCTGGATGTCGGCTCTCTCGTCGATATGGCCGACGTGTGCAAATTGTTCAATCGACTGTTGCATCGGTACTGTTTTCCACGCATTCGGAAATTTGAGGTAATCAACAGCTACATACCCTATACATTTTTTATGCCATTGGCGAAAATGCACCGAGTCTTGCGGTGCGTTGGCCCGTACATCACCGATTTAATCTTCGAATGCAATGTCGATGAATGGGAAATTAAGCATGATGTCGTCACTAGATTTTTGGAAGTGTTGGCCGAAAATGTCGGCACCAATATTCGTCGAGCGTGGATCTCTTGCCGAACCATCTGTAAAAATGATCGCATCTCAAAACTTGCACCGATTTTCCGTCATTTGGAACTGTTACAGCTCAAAGCAAATAACTATACCTTTGACATCGATTTTCATACGATGTGCCCGAATTTGGTTGACATCCAAGTGGATGTGAATGTGCCAATGAGAGGCTGTGTTAAACCGTGGAAAAGCCTACGTCGCTTAGCCATCATCAATAGTAGCATTAACACGGCGGATTTGATTAAGCTGATTGCACTGAATCCACAGCTCACACACATTGAATTTAAGGATGATCTCAATGGAAACATCTCACTACCGATCTCGAACTTGCGTATGCTTGAAAATGTCCAAATAGCAAGCACCCATTATAATCATGGACACTTGAATGGCTTCAAGATTGCTTGCTTGAGTCGTCTTCAGCATTTGACAGAAATCAGTTTGTTCCGCTTACGTCGTGACTCAATGGAAGGGATCCTTGATTGTTTGGCAACCTTTGTTGGACTACGAAAAATATGTTTGCATCAAGAAGAAGAAGCTGAACGTGTTGCAGTTTCTGCAGTCGATCCGAGATCTTTGCGGTCATTGGTCAAATTGGCTACGAAACAACCGAAATTGGAAGAACTGAAATTGGATTCTGTAAAACTAACGAGAACTGCTTTGATGGAGTTCGTTCGTTACGCCATTCAATTGAAAAAGCTTCAACTCAAGTGGAGCGGTTTGATGATCTCGGACCAATTAATCTTGAACTTGGTCGACGTCTTGAAATTCAATCGATCAGAGCCCAACGACGTTTTGGTACTGGAATTGTATTCATACCAGCTCGAAAATTTGAATGTGATCAAGACTCAATCGGTTTCACGTTACCTTCAAGTAAAACCGATTTAAACAGCTTAGTCGATATTTTACGCACACATCACATACGTACAAAGTACATCTCGGCTATTTTTCAAATGCCATGAATCATTTTTTCTCTCTCAAAAATAGAATCAAAACATTAATAAGTCATAAGCCATTTGCCTTAGGCATGTATTCAAACATTAGCTACACTCTTAAAGTTATTTCCATCGAAATTCAATAATAATTTCCTTGAAGAATTTTGCATGGGAAAATTTTTTAATAATAATCATTTTTTCTGTCGAATGAACCAAATCTAAAATACACAGAATGCTTTCGCAACCATTTTTGTACTTCTACAAAAAAAAAATGCTGTACACGCTTGTGACCTTTCGAGTTTGCCACAAGAAGACCATTCTGTATTGGACGTACAACAAGTTATATATATTTATAAAGAAATAAAGCAATTCAGTAATTTGAATGAAAAAATTGTTAGTTTTATTAAATTCTTGCTATATTTAAGCCAAATTTCCTATTTCGCCTCCATACAGGAGCGAATTTTTCATCGCAAATATTGCCATTAATTTAAGAACGTAAGTTGATTGCCATTAATTGGTTGAAACGATTGGCATTATTTGGCTGATTCACCGTTACTGAATATATAGTTCGAAAATTGCTTGGAAATTTTCCATATCCAATGCTTAAATAAATAATTTTATTAATTTACTTGAATTATTTTCATACCATGTCAAGTGATATGGGATTAGATAGAAAGACCGTTTTTTCAGTTGACATTTTTTATTCCAACTTTTAGAGAGCAGTCCATTACTTCGACAAAGGATGCATATTTTTGAATTTCCTATCGAGACGATTGATGTGCTTGTATTAAGATATGAAGGTATAATTTCCTAGGTGTATGCAGCAAAGAAAAATAAGACTCATTTTATTTTCACATCAATTTGCTAAATTCGAGTCAAAATATTTTTTCTTAAATCAATCTTGCTAATGAATTTGAACGCCATCTGATGTCAACTCATCTCGCGACAATCAGAAAAATGTCATAGCGCGAAAAGTATTGTTGGGTGTTCATTTGACATTTCGCTCCACTTGTAAGTTGATTATTCCCATGCTGTCACACAACAAGCAGCACGAGAGATTTTGGTTCAGCGTGAATAAAAGTTTAATACTTTCGGGATAGTAAAGATAAAAAGATGCCACTCATTTGGGACGACAATGAATGGTTGTGGTTGAACGATGAAAAACCATACAATAAAAGCCAATATGTAGTGGCACGAAAACTTTGTGTCAAGCAAAAAATATCTCAACATCGAAATGTGGTACGTATTCTCCCTTAACCTCATCTCAGTGTAAATTTTTATACGTCTGCCTACCTTAGTCTATTCCAGAATTCTCGACCGATCAAATTCGTCGTCACCTTCGGAAATTTGGTGAGATCGAGTCCATTAAACTGCCACTCAAAAATGATCCAGAAGCACATGTTACTTTTGCCAGCAGCCAAAGCGCATATTTTGTGAAATTGCAACATGATTATGACAAGAAAACGAACAAAGATCAAGCGTATGAAATCGAACTGGCCGATTCATGGGAACAACCACCAGAAACAATCAACCAACCGCCTGAAGATGCGATGGAAGTCGATGATGAGCAAACATCGAAGATATTCATGTTGAACGAAAAGTGTCTGCTGCACTTGTTCCAGTTTTTGGATCTCGATTCACTTGTCAATTTGGCCGACGTGTGCAAAATGTTCAACCGATTGCTGCATCAGCACTGTTTTCCATGCATTCGAAAATATGAAGTGACCAGTGGCCCGGAGTTTGTTCTGAGCAAGGTGCGTCGAACGTTGCTCTGCATTGGAAATCATATTACTGATTTAAAATTCAAAGCCGTTTGTGATTATAAGAAAAACTACACAAAAGATTCTGTCGGTCGCACATCAAAATTCTTGAGAGTAATCGCACAGAACGTAGGTGTCAACGTTCGCCGAGCATCTCTATCATTCAACTTTAAAGCAGACAATCGCATCAAGGCAATCGCACCAATTCTCCGAACTTTGGAATCGTTAGAAATTGAGGATAGAGAGGGAGATATCTACTATGACATCGATTTTCAGGCATTGTGCCCAAATTTGATCGATTTCACAGTGAATATGGAAATGTCGATGATGGCTTATTGCAAACCATGGCCAAGCCTGCGCAGTCTCTCAGTGAAGCGAAATATGGAATCATGTGAACAGACATTGTTATCGTTTGTTCAACAAAATCCACAGCTCACCTGCCTCAAACTTGGATATAGAATTACTTTCACGATTTCTTTCACAAAATATCTAACGAATCTCGAAAAGCTATCGATTTTTCTGTATAACGACGAATGTCGTATTGCCGAAGACTTTGATGGTACTGGAACACTTCCGTCATTGCGTAAAATCAAAATGGATGGATTGGACGGTTGCAATTTGAAAGGCGCTATTGATCAACTATCGACGCTACAAAATTTGCGCAAAATCAGTCTGTATAGTTATAGCTTCGAAGGCTCAGAAATAAAAGACTACTCGGAATCTTTGGTAAACTTGGCAAAAAAACTGCCACTTTTGGAGCAGTTGAATCTACGCGGAATACCAGTCAATGCAGATATTTTAGTCAACATCGTTCTCGTTGGCCGCCAGTTGAAAGTGCTGCACATTTACAGCTGCCAATTGGATTTCTCCGATGAATTGATCGTCAAATTGGTTGAAACATTGAAAGTCAGTCGAAAAGAAACCGGCGATGCTTTGCAATTGTGCTTGGGTCAGAAGGATTTGGACAAATTGGACGCGTCCAAAAGCAAAGCATTTGAACGTTATCTTCATTTGAAACTGATCAAGTATAAACAGAAGCTGATCTAATATTGAAGCCGATATTTAATCACGTCACCGAACATTTGAAAATAACGACCAAAATCAAACACAATGTGATTGAATCTCAATTTCATCAGTCAAATAAATAAACTAGTTTAGCCCTCATTCGTACAACAAATGTAATTTAGATTAGAAAATCCATTGATCACAAACTGGTTTCAATAAAAATCCAAACAAGCTGTTACATATACATCATTTCATTTGCATCAATCATTATTTGCATTCAAAGCGAATGGAGATTTGTGCATCATGCAATGAGTGAAGCTTTTGTAATCAAGAGGTGACCAAAAACTAGATTGTAATGGTAAACTACTAAGGATTTGAACGCTATTCATATTGAGAAAGGTCGAAAATATAAAAATTTTACGATTGAATGTGCTCTCAACGTCTCAGAAAATATTCTGCAAATTTCGATGTAAAAAAAACTTTCAATTTACTTTTACGCCATCTGATGTCACTTCAACTCACAACTTAGCCGTCCATTTGACATTTCCACTAAATCAAATCATTGCACAACTCGTCAACAAGCGAACATTCATACTGGCATCGACCAACAAGTAACAAATAGTTTATCTGGAATTATATAGTTTTCTGTGGGAACAAAAGTAAAAAAATGTCATTCATTTGGGACGATTCGGGCTGGTTTCTAGTGGACGATGAAGATTCATATGATAAAAGCCGATTTGTGGTAGCGCGAAAGCTTTGTGTGAAACCATCTCGTGATCGATACGATCCTGTGGTGCGTATTGAACCTACACATACCTAACCTCAACTCTACGTATTTCAATATTGATTTTCCTACTTTTTTCCCTTTAGACCAAAAAAGAGTTTTCATCTGATGGACTTCGTCGACATTTTGGTGAGATCGAGTCGATTGAACTGCTGCCCAACAATGAGCCAGAAGCACATCTAACTTTTGTCAGCAGTCGCAGCGCTTATTTTATGCTGTTGCAACATGAATTTGACAAGGAAATGCACAACTATCCGCTATTCGAAATCGAACCAGTCGATTCATGGGAACAACCACCAGAAAATGTCAATCCACCACCTGAAGATGCGATGGAAGTGGATGATGAGCAAACATCGGAAATGTTCGTGTTGAATAAAGACTGTCTGCTGCACTTCTTACAGTTTTTGGATCTCGACTCTCTTGTCAATATGGCCTACGTGTGCAAAATGTTCAACCAATTGCTGCGTCAGCACTGTTTTCCACGCATTCAAAAGTACAAAGTGGACAACAACAATCCAACGGACACGCTGGCAAAAGTACGTCGAACGATGCTTTGTATTGGGTCGTATATCACAGATTTATCATACGAGGCTCATTATGGTGAAAAGTGGCACCACGATTTGTGTGAAGACAGTGGATATAGTCAATATGGAGATGTCGGTCACACATCGAAGTTCTTGCGGGTAATCGCACAGAATGTGGGTCAAAACATTCGCCGAGCCTATTTCGAAATTGGATTTGATGAAAAGCGTATTGAGACAATCGCACCAATTCTGCGAAATTTAGAATCATTGGAGATTGCGGATCACAGCGAAGAGTCCAGCTATGACATCGATTTTCTGGCGTTGTGCCCGGATTTGATTGAATTCAAAGTGGCTATGAAAATACCAATGAAGGCTTGCTGCAAACCATGGCCAAGTCTGCGTCGTCTTTCGGTAACGGACAACTGGCAATTGGGAACAACAACATTTATATCGTTTGTTCAACAAAATCCACAACTCACCCGACTAGAATTCGAAATATTTCAAGACAACGTTCTTCTCTTTGTGGCTATCACACGACATTTATTGAGACTCGAAAAGCTATCGATTATTATTCCAATTGGATTCGTATTTCATTCTGATGAAAACTTTGCTGCTGACTTTGAAAATTTTGGAAATCTCCCACTTCTGTCCAACATTAAACTGAACGGATTTAATCTTAGCAGTTTGAAAAGCGTTCTTGATCATCTAACGACGTTCATAAATTTACGGAAAATCAATTTATGTTGCAACGGTTTGTTCTATGGCCTAGAAAGAGACTACAGACAATCTTTGGTGAACTTGGTAAAACAACTGTCACTTTTGGAAGAGCTACTACTGGAGGATATACCAATGAAAGAAGAAACTTTGGTCGACATTGTTCGCTTTGGCGGCCAGTTGAAAGTGTTGCACGTTGACAGCTATAAATTAGTTTTTTCCGATGAATTGATCCTACGGTTGGTTAACGTATTGAAGTGCTATCGACAAGCATCCAACGTGGCTTTGCAGTTGTTCCTGAAGAAAAATGATTGGGACAAATTGGATACAGCCACAATCAAGGAAATTGAACGTCATCTACACCTGAAATGCATCTAAAGTCAAAAGGAGCTGATCACACCTTGAAGCCAGTACTTCATTATGCCGAAAATTGATCGATTATCGAAAATAGTAAAAGTAATACACACAACTTATCATCTTAGTGATCGACTTTATACTCGATTTATTCTTAGTTTAGCGTCTGTTTGAACAGCAATTGTGAACATAGGAGAATCAATCTCATTTCTCAAGATTACAATACAAATAAAATTAAGTTCACTCGAAATGTTTCTATGTTGTCCATTCTATCACTTGTATCAGTCAATACGTTCATCTAGAGCTTTAGAGGAGATTCTAATATATGGTGATTGCCAAGTCACAATTGAAGAACCGCAGACAACGATGAGGAGTCTAATCCTGTCAATTGGTACAGATATCGGGCACACGAACTGGTGTTTTTGGTAAAAGCTGGCATGGAAGCAGCGATGGCAAAAGAAATACAGGGTAGTAAAATATTTCAGAAGGAGATCAACAGATGTTCCATGATTTGGCTTCCCAAATCGAACCTAATTCATAGGGTGGAAGCATCAACGAAATTCATATTGGCGCGCTGTTTATAGGATTGAAATTGAGGGCGCTCGCGTCGCCACAGTTGTCATTCAAGTTGTTCTCAGTCTTAGCGTCTACCCGATGACCTAATTTTCCAAAAAATTTGAAATCCCATAAAAAAAGCTAAAAGAAAATTGGTTATTGTGCCAAAAATCCTGTCGAATTTTTAGTTTTACATTGAAACTTTTAATGGGTTTCTTAATTTTATGTTGGAAACCGATTCATGCGATATAAATTTTGATTTCTTCACATTAATTCCAATTCAACTGAATTTTTTCAATCTCTGTGCAAAGGACTCATTTGCAACGCCACCTGACTTCATATCAACGCATGACAAAGACGTCAATATCGGTTTGGCGATCACTAGACATTTCATTGTACATTTCATAAGCAAACGAATCTGCGTGTTAGCATTGACCGTCAAGCAATATAAAGTTTCTCGAAAATTCATTCAAAATTTATTGTTTTCTGAAGTTCAATACGCGATAATGCCGTTCATTTGGGACGATTTTGATTGGATGTTGGTAGACGAGGACGATTCATATGATAAAAATCGTTTTGTTGTGATACGAAAACTTCGTGTTAGGCCGATTCAGTACGATGTGGTATGTATTTAGAGTACGTAACCTCAAATATTTCCATGAAGCTCATCCGCAATTTTTTTCCAATAGGCCAATGCAGGGTTTTCGATTGAATTAATTCGTCGACACTTTCGGAAATTTGGCGAGATCGAATCGATTGAAATGCTGCCCAATGATAATCCAGAAGCACATGTGACATTTGTCAGCGACCGCAGTGCATGTTTTGTGCAATCGCACTATGAACTTGACAAGAAGATGAACAAAGTGCAGCCGTATGAAGTTGAGCCAGCTTACACATGGGAACAGCCGCTTGAAAACGCCAATTCACCGCCTGAACATGATATAGGAATCGATGATGAACAAACATCGAAAATATTCACACTGAACGAAGATTGTCTGCTGCATTTGTTCAAGTTCTTGGATCTCGACTCTCTTGTCAATATGGCCTTCGTGTGCAAAATATTCAACCGGTTGCTGCGTCAGCACAGCTTTCCACACATTCGAAAGTACAAAGTGTCATGTGGTCAGAAATCTACACTGGCCAAAGTACGTCGAACAATGCTTTGCATTGGTCGCCATATCACTGATTTCTCATTCCAAGCAGATTATTATCATGAGGAACATGAATGGGACGGTGAACTTTTTTTTGTAGATAACGATCGCTCATCCAAATTTCTAAAGGTAATCGCACAAAATGTGAGTCAAAACATTCGCCGAGCACTGCTGCGATTTGGAGTAGGTGAACGAAGCCGAATCATGACAATCGCGCCAATTCTCCAGTATTTGGAATCATTCGAAATTGCGGACTACGAACAACTTTTCGATGACGATATTAACTTTCATTTGTTGTGCCCAAATCTGATTGAATTCAAGGTAAATATACGAATGCCGATGGTCGCTTGCTGCAAGCCATGGCCAAGCCTGCGTAGTCTTTCGGTGTTGTACAATTCAGAATTGAAACCAAAAACATTGATGTCCTTTATTGTACACAATCCCCAGCTCATATGCTTAGAATTTTCTGTTTACTATGGAAATCACAGTGCTCTCTTCACGGCCATCACAAAACACTTAACCGGTCTCGAAAAATTGACCATTTGGTTTAATAAATACTACATAAGTGATAATTTTGTCGAAAATTTTGATGGCCTTGGAGAACTTTCACTTCTGCGCGAATTTACTTTGATGGGGTTGAAAGCCGACAATTTGAAAGGCGTTATCGATCATCTACCAAGATTCGAAAATTTGCGAAAATTAGTACTGATTGGCGGTTCACAGCATTCGGAAATAATAAACTACGGGGGATTGGAATCTATGGTGAACTTGGCAAGAAAACTATTATTTTTGGAAGAGCTACATATGCTACGTATACCAATGAAAGAAGAAACTTTAGTCGACATCGTTCGATTTGGCCGCCAGTTGAAAGTGTTGAAAATTCACAGCTGTAAATTAGTTTTCTCCGATGAATTGATCTTCAAGTTGGTTGACGCATTGAAGTGTTATCGACAAGAATCCGACGAAGCTTTGCAGTTATTATTACCAAAAGGGGACTTGGGTAAATTGGATGTTGCCAAAAACAAGGAAATCGAAGGATATCTGCGATTGGATGTTGCCAAAAACAAGGAAATCAAAGAATATCTGCGATTGAAATTCACCTAACGTCTAAAAAAGCCGATCACACCCTGAAGCCAGTAATTCACCATTAGCGAACAATTTAGAAAAGTAAAATTCATTAATTTAAGATTTATCCTTCATGAATATTCTGATTGAATCAGGACTTTTAAAGCCGGTCAACTGAATGATTCGATTTATTGTTAGTTTATCGTTGATTTGCATAACAATTGTGGAGTCCACATTGCGGACATAGGAATATCAACTTCATTTGTCTTCATTTTCATGAAAAAAAATCGATTACTAGAGAAAAAAAATCATATCGAAGATAGCACAACAATTCTCAGAACAGGATAATCCGTTCAGTTTAAAATTTATCTGCGCACCAAAATATACACATACAAACAGAAATTCATATATTATAGGCCATATTTTTTTTGTCTCAAAAGAAATAAAAAGGAGTTCAGTGGAACTTTTACAAAAAAATTTATATTTTTGTCTTTCTACTTAAATTTCATCAATCAGAAAAGAAAAATGAGATGTTATGAATTATTATCCGTTATAGAATGGTGCACGCAATAAAGAGCCGTAAGACTCCTTTTGTTTCAACTTAAATTTCTAAATTCAAGTCAAAATCAAACAATCTCGCCAAACGAATTTGAACGCCACCTAATTTTAAGTCAAGAATGTATTGGCGCAAAAAGTTTGGTTGGGTGCTCATTTGACATTTCGTTGCACTTGTAAGTTATTGATTTTCATGCTGTCACACAACAATCGGCACATGAAATTTTGATTCAAGTAAATACTTGCTAAAATATTCATTTTTTTTGCGGTAAATACCAAAACTAGTAAAGCCAAAAAAATGCCTCTAATTTGGGATGACTCTAAATGGATGTGTGTAAATGATGAAGAACCATACAATAAAAGCCAATTTGTTGTGGTGCGGAAACTTCATATCAAGCCTTCATACCGAAATAGGGTACGTATTTCACTGAGGTTAAAACTCTGCTCAATTCAGTGTTAATTTCTCTGCTATTGCTTTAGGACAATGAAGAGTTTTCGGTTGATCGAATTCGGCGGCAACTTCGGAAATTTGGTGAGATTGAATCGATTGAACTGTTGCCCTACAAGGAACCAGAAGCTCATGTGACATTTGTCAACAGTCGCGTTGCTTATACTGTGCAAATGCAACATCAATGTAACAAGATGATGTGCATAGATCGGCCGTATGAAATAGAACCAGCCGATACATGGGAACAACCTCCAGAAATTATCAGTCAACAGCCTGATCATGATATGGAAGTCGATGAGCAAACATCAGAGATATTCATGTTGAACGAAAAGTGTCTACTGTATCTGTTCCAGTTCTTGGACCTCGATTCACTCATCAACATGGCCGATGTGTGCAAAATGTTCAACCAATTGCTTCATCAGCACTGTTTTCCTCACATTCAAAAGCACGAAGTGACCAATGGTCCGGAATTTATACTGAGAAAGGTGCGTCGAACGTTGCTCTGCATTGGTCAGCACATCACTGATTTATCATTTCGAGCCCATTACGATTACGTGATAGAAGAAGGAGTATGGTCTCAATATGTAGACCATCGCTCATCGAAATTTCTAAGAGTAATCGCACAGAATGTGGGTCAGAATGTTCGCCGAGCATACTTTGAATTCGGATTCAATAGTCACAGCCGTATCATGAAAATCGCACCGATTCTTCAAAATTTGGAATCGCTGGAAATTGCGGATAGAAGCTACGGATCCATAAATGACATCGATTTGCCGGCGTTGTGCCCAAATTTGATCGAGTTGAAAATGAATGTGAAAATGTCGATGTTCGTTTGCTGCAAACCATGGCAAAGCCTGCGAATTCTTTCGGTGTTGTACAACCCTGAATTGAAAGCAACGACGTTAATATCCATTATTGAACAAAACTCACAGCTCACGTGCTTAAAATTTTCTATGTGGAGAGGCTATATCTACAGTACAGATCCCCCATACGGTGTTCTTTTCACGGCTATCACAAAACACTTATCACGTCTCGAAAAATTGACCATTTTGATTGATATAGGTAATTTTCCTGGGTATTTCCACAGCCTTGGAGAACTTCCAATTCTGAGCGAACTCAATTTGGTGGGTTTGAAAGATAACGGTTTGAACAATGTTATCGACCATTTACTAACGTTCACGAATTTGCAAAAAATCGGTTTACACGGCTGCGGTATTAGAGACTCAGAAATAGGAAGCTATGGAGAATCTTTGGTGAACTTGGCAAGAAAACTATTACTTTTGGAAGAGCTACAACTGGAGTATATACCGATGAAAGAAGAACATTTCGTCAACATCGTTCGCTTTGGCCGACAGTTGAAAGTGTTGTACGTTTACAGCTGTAAATTAGTTTTCTCCGATGAATTGATCTCCAAATTGGTTGACGCACTGAAGTGCTATCGACAAGAATCTGACGAAGCTTTGCAGTTATTCTTGCCTAAAGAGGACTTGGATAAATTGGATTCTGACAAAAACAAAGAAATTGAACGCTATCTACAACTGCGCCTGAACAGACGAAACGCCTTGGACGCGATTTTTTATCTACGTTACGATTTTTGAACAGAAAAATATTCATAAACAATTTGATTGTAAAGTAATTCAATTTATTCATAATTTACAACAATTGTACACAGAAAAACCACCCATTGATCATGATTTGATTTCAATAAAAGTGAAATAGACTTCAGTGAATATTACAAATGTGATTTGGTCTTTCCACTTGCATCAATCAATATTTATATCCAAAGAGTTTGAAGAACGAGAGCAAAATATTTATCTTGTAAAGGGTGAAGCTTTTGTCACTGTGTTTGGTTTTAAGTTTTTACCTTTTCCAGCTTTGTAACCACATTCGTTCATATATTTCAACACAACTATTTCTCTTCAATGAGCAAAAACAACTGTCGTTTTGGTGTCGCTTGCTGCTTGCATATTTGGGAAAAGCTTGGACGGTATACCGTCCGTTCATTCACGGTGATTCACTCCGAGTGAAAGCAATATATGATTTATTCAATTAAAAATATTCGTTCTAGTAAAAAATATTTTCCTGAGATTTCTTCGCAATAACACATTTGAATTTATTTTTACGCCATCTGATGTCATCTCAAGTCACAACTTTCATCGGAATCGTCTTGACGTTCATTTGACATTTCAACTAAATCACTTCATTGCACAACTCGTAAGCAAGCGGACCTTCATATTGATATCGACCAACAAGTAACAAATAGTTTATCTGGAATTATATAGTTTTCTGTGGGTACAAAACTAAAAAAAATGTCATTCATTTGGGACGATTCGGGCTGGTTTCTGGTGGACGACGAAGATTCATATGATAAAAGTCGATTTGTTGTAGCGCGAAAGCTTTGTGTGAAACCATCTAACGATAGACACACTTGTGCGGTACGTTTTGAATTTACTTAACCTCAACTATACGTATTTCAATTTCCTACTTTTGTTTCGTCCAAAAGACCAAAGAAGATTTTTCACCCGATCGAATTCGTCAACACACTGAGCAATTTGGTGAAATCGAGTCGATTGAAATACTGCCTAACGATGAGCCAGAAGCACATGTAACTTTTGTCAGCAGCTACAGTGCATATTTAATGTGTCTGCAACACCAGTATGACAAAATGATCAACAAAAAGCAGCCGTTTGAAATCCAACCAGCCGAAACATGGAAACAACCATCACAGAATGTCAATCCACCGTCTGAATATGATATGGAAGTTGATGATGAGCAAACATCGGAAATATTCACACTGAACGAAGATTGTCTGCTGCATCTGTTCAAGTTCTTGAATCTCGACTCCCTTGTCAATATGGCCTTCGTATGCAAACTGTTCAATCGATTGCTTCGCCAACACTGTTTTCGACGCATTCGAAAGTACGAAGTGAACAGTAACGATTCGACCATTACACTGGCCAAAGTGCGCCGAACGATGCTTTGCATTGGACAGCATATCACTGATTTATCATACGTCGATCATGATGAACGATTTAAATATGTATATCATCGTATATTTGTCAAATATGTAACGAAACATTTGCAAGCAATCGCACAGAAGGTGGGTCAAAACATTCGTCGGGCCCATTTGGAATTTGAATTTAATGAAAATCGTATTGAGACAATCGCACCAATTCTTCGACATTTAGAATCATTAGAAATTATAGATCATAGCAAAGAATTCAGAAATGACATCGATTTGAAGAAGTTGTGTCCAAATTTGGTCGAATTGAAAGTGGATATGCATATTCCGATGATTGCTTGCCGTAAACCATGGCCAAGTCTACGGAGTCTTTCGGTGAAGAACAACGTCAAATTGAGAATAAAGACATTAACATCGATTATTCGGCACAATCCACAGCTCACCTGCCTCATATATGACCTCAGAATCGGTCCTCCGTTGGTTTTCGCAAAATATTCACTAAGACTCGAAAGTCTAACGATTTATTGCTCAAACGGCGGATCACCTTTTACTGGAAACTTCAACGGTTCAGCAGAATTTCCACGGTTGTGTGAAATCAATTTGGTGCATTTGGAAGCTAACAGTTTGGAAGGCACTATTGAACGTCTAGCGACATTTACAAATTTACGCAAAATCAGCTTACATGGCTGTGGTACTCGTTATGATTTCCGTTCGGAATTGGAAAACTGTGAACAGCCTTTGGTGAACTTAGCAAGAAAACTTTCATTTTTGGAAGAGTTGCAGCTGGTGTGGATCGCAGTGAAAGAAGAAACTTTAGTCAACATCGTTCGCTTTGGCCGCCAGTTGAAAGTGTTGCACTTTGACAGCTGTAAATTGGTTTTCTCCGATGAATTGATCTTCAAGTTGGTTGACGCACTGAAGTGCTATCGACAAGAATTTAACGAGACTTTGCAGTTGTACTTGAATAAATGGTACTTCGATAAATTGGACGCAGTCAAAAACGAGGGAATTGAACGCTATCTGCAATTAAAATGCACCTAATGTCGAAAGAAGACGACCAAACCTCAAAACCAGTATTTCATCATTACCAAACAGTTCAGTGAAAGAAGCAATAGTCATAAATAATTTGAACGACTCACGACATCATCAGTCATATTGGAAATATTTTCAGTTTAACGTTTATTTGTATAACAATTGAGAACATAGAAGAATCAATATATTAGTGTACGTGCCAACGCATTTTTACTTCAACCGAAGCTAATTTTAAATTTAAAAAATCTAAAAAGTCTAAAAATTATATTCAAGAAAGTTCAAAACAAATGCTTATGGTACCATAAACTTTGTTACAGAATCAATCCTTCAATCATTTGCAACGCCACCTGACATCATATCAGCGCATTGACAAAGCCATCAATATCGGTTTGGTGCTCACTTGACATTTCATTGCACATTTCATAAGCAAACGGATCTGCGTGTTAGCATCGACCGAAAGAAATATAATTTTTTTTCGAAAAATCACCTCAAATTTATTGGTTTTTCAAGTATAGAACATAAAAATGCCGTTCATTTGGGACGGTTTTGAATGGATGTTGGTGGACGAGGAAGATCCATATGATAAAAATCGTTTTGTTGTGGTACAAAAACTTCGTGTTAGGCCGATTCAGTCCGATGTGGTATGTATTTAGAGTACGTAATCTCAAATATTTCCACGAAGCTTAGCCGCAATTTTTTCTCCCAATAGGCCAATGAAGGATTTTCAATTGAATCGATTCGTCGACACTTTCGGAAATTTGGTGAGATCGAGTCGATTGAAATGCTGCTCATCAATGAACCGGCAGCACATGTGACATTTGTCAGCGACCGCAGTCCATGTTTTGTGCAATCGCAGCATGAATTTGACAAGAAGATGAACAAAGAACAACCGTACGAAATAGAACCAGCCGACACATGGGAACAACCATCACAAACAGTCAATCAACCGCCTGAAGATGCAATGGAAGTCGATGATGAGCAAACATCGAAAATATTCACACTGAACGAAGATTGTCTGCTGCATTTGTTCAAGTTCTTGGATCTCGACTCTCTTGTCAATATGGCCTACGTGTGCAAAATGTTCAACCGATTGCTGCGTCAGCACTGTTTTCCTCGCATTCGAAAGTACAAAGTGGACAATAGCAATCCAACGGACACGCTGGCCAAATTACGTCGAACGATGCTTTGCATTGGGTCGTATATCACAGATTTATCATACGTGGCTCATTATGATTTCAAGAAAAACCAATTTGAAGAAGTCATTTAGAATTTGAATTGAATGAAAACCGTATTGAGACAATTGCACCGATTCTTCGGAATTTGGAATCGCTGGACATTGGCAATCGGAGTAATGTATCCAGCTATGACATCGATTTTCCGGCGTTGTGTCCGAATTTGATCGAGTTGAAAGTGGATATGCATATTCCGATGATTGCTTGCCGTAAACCATGGCCAAGTCTACGGAGTCTTTCGGTGAAAAACAACGACAAATTTGGAATAAGGACGTTAAGATCGATTATTCGACACAATGATGACTTGTCTCGGATATGGGCACAGAACCACCGTTCCGTTGGCTTTTGCAAAACCACCGAGACTCGAAATACTAACGATTTATTGTTCGAGCGGCGGATTACCTTTTACCGAAAACTTCAACGGTTCAACAGAACTTCCACAGTTGCACGAAATCAGTTTGCTGAATATGCAAGCTGACAGTTTGGAAGGCACTATTGATCGTCTAGCGACGTTTACAAATTTACGTAAAATCAGCTTACATGGCCGTACTTACTATGGCATCTGCTCGGATTCGGAAAACTATGGACAGTCTTTAGTGAATTTGGCAAGAAAACTTTCACTTTTTGAAGAGTTGCAGCTGGTGTGGATAGCAATGAAAGAAGAAACTTTAGTCAACATCGTTCGCTTTGGCCGCCAGTTAAAAGTGTTGCACGTTGACAGCTGTGAATTGGTTTTCTCCGATGAATTGATCTTTAAGTTGGTTGACGCACTGAAGTGCTATCGACAAGAATCCAACGAGGCTTTGCAGTTGTACTTAGATAAATGGAATTTCGATAAATTGGATGTGGTCAAAAGCAACGAAATTGAACGCTATCTGCAATTAAAATGCGCCTAACGCCAAAACCAGACGATCACACCTTGAAACCTGTATTTCATCATTAGCGAAAAGTTGAGAAAAAGTGAACGTTATTAATTTCAGATTTATTCTTCACTAGCTGCCTTTGCAAAAGAAATATTGATAAAAACCTTTACCATCTTACCAGTTAGTTTAAATTTTATGTGTGCAAAAAGCCTAATTGAACATGACAAAAGTCAATTGCTTCACAAGAGAAAAAGTTAACATCATTTCCAAACTTGAAACTTCAAAATATAAAAAAAAACCAAATTCACTTATCGCCATCGAAATAAAATCAGAACATTTAAGGAAGTTGATAAAAGAATAGACAATTTTGGGTATTCGAATTAAAGTATGTGAGTTTTATTTTATTATTTCATTATTGACCTTTAAAAGCTAATTTCATATAATAAATTCGTTTCAATTGAACAAAAATGCATCCATCATTGCAGAGATTTCCGTTGATAACCGTAAGTATTATAGCTATTAGCTAATCCACTGTTTCAGAACAAATTGCTTAAAAGTTCCTTTGCAAATTGTCCATATCCAGCTCTTCAATCGATTGTCTATTTGATTCTATATCAAAATTCGTCTCGCAAAGTGAATACATATTTGTTTGCGTATTCTACTCTAGAACAAACTGCTACGTATTTCCGGAAATTTCAGTTCCATTCTTATCGGAACATGGAGACACATAAGTGCAGCTTGATCCAATTTGCGGTAAAAACACATTCATTCGCATTCTTCGATACATAAACACACTTCGTATCGTTTCTCCTCTTCTCAGTCAGTGATTGAATATCAACTCTAAGAATTATGCTTCATTTGCAAATTTTCGTTCGATTGTGTGAGTGTGGCTTGTGCGGCTTTTGTTTACATTATCATAAAAAAACAAATTCCGATTCGTTCATTTAAACAATGCATTCATGTTCCATGCGACGCTAAAAATGAATCATGAATTGAGAATTCGTCTCCGGTTTGTTCAACTGGTCACTCTTAATAAGAGTCTCTTATCACCAACTGCTATTGATCAAATAGTTTAGGAGAATGTAATGATGACTCATGGTTATCATCCAAACAAGAGAAAAATTGTTTTCTCCGAACTTTTGCCCGTTGACAGCTTTAGTGATGAGAGAGATAGAGTCCGAGTAATGAATTTGTCCAACTTTCGCAATAAAAGACTTTAAAATTGAATGAAATGTCCGATTCTCATGAATTTACTTCATACAAAATGAATATTGTTTGACTAAAAACGAAGCATGTCCCATTCATGACCATATTCCCCTACTTGAATAAACAAACGACAACTGTTTATTCAACACATGCGAAGCCTATACTAAATTTATTCGCAATCGCAAGATATGTATTCCAACTAATAAGCTTCCGCAGTCCGCACTCATTCATTAGTCGCGATTGCATCAGATAAAACGACACATGGTTTCCGTGTAAAGTGGCAAATTAGAAATTCTATCTGAATTCAAATAATAAAGTATTTGCTGTAGTCAAGCTAATTTTTAAAGCCTTTGTTGATATTTAAATGTTTTTGATTGAGTGTAGCAGCGATTGAGTGCATACCGTTCGAATAAAACATAATTCATTCAAATCAATTTTTCTCCAGTGAAAGTGTGAATCGAACACAGAGGCAAAAATGCCATCAAGTAACACGTTGCCTGACTATATTACAAGTCATGTGCACGAGATTGCAAAAAGTGAAGGATTCACGAGCTACACGATTGAATCGAAGGCTGGCTCAAATCATGGTGACAATTTAGTGGCGATTATGAATGCAATCACATTGTGTGGAACGAAGACGGAGAATTGTACAACTGAGAAATTGCATTTGCTATGCAAAGAAGCCCCAGCTAATGAAACGCGTCGTAAGCATTTCAATTCGGAAATGATATTCAATCGCGAGATTTTTGTTTATTCCAAAATATTGCCAGCCTTTGCGCGTTTTCAAAAAGAAAAAGGCTTGAGTGAAGCCGATTCATTTGTGTCATTCCCGGAAGTGTATGCGTTCGAAGCAAACCAAGATGATGGTTCTTTCCTATTGATCATGGAAGATTTGAAGGCAAAAAATTACAAAATGTGGCCCAAAGAAAAAATCATTGCACTCGATCATGAGCTACTTGTAATGAAAAATCTCGCCAAATTCCATGCAATTTCATTTGCAATGAAAGATCAACGACCAAATGAATTTGATGAATTCACTCGGCTACAAGACACTTTTGTCCCCATTGTAGTCACCGGAAAAATGCGATCATTCAACAATAAATCCATCGAACGAGCAGCAAATGTGCTGAAACGTCAAGAACATAAAAAATTGATGCTTGATTTTTTACACACATTCGGCGATACAATCAAAGAATTCCTGTGCGGTGCATCGAGCCGAGAATTTGGCGTCATCGGGCATGGTGATTGTTGGAATAACAACTTTATGTTTAGCTATTTTGATGAACAAGTGAGTTGTGAATTGATGAAATGTAGATTGAGTCTCACTAGGAAATGTCCAATTTGAAATTAATTTCTCCTTTTTCAAAAATCAAAAACATTTTCAACAGGGAAAGAGCCCAAAAGATGTGTCTTTCTTGGACTGGCAACTCACTCACTATTGCCCACCAGT